AGTTCTTCTTGATAGAGTGACACTGCAGCTGTCTTCATTGCAAGCTCTTTTGCCACAGAGCCGAGTTCTTTAACAAGCAAATCATTGGATGTTTTCAATCCAAGTACAACTGGCTTCAACTCATCCATGGATTTAGCAAGACCAATGGCTGTGGGGTTGGTATCGGTAAATTCAGTATTGCTTGCTAGGAAGCTGTCCATCACCTCCTTGGACCATTTCTCCAACAGCAACTCAGGGCTCATAGTTCTGTCGTATCTTGGATCCGAGATTTTGGCCTCCCTAGCTTTGGTTCGACGATAACAAGAAACTGCATTTCTGTAACCAAGGTCGCTTGTCACTGTATTGTGATGGGCTATTAGGGAGGCTGCCGCAGCTCTCGTAACCGCATATAGTGACCCATCTGCCTTGAAGCTTGGTACTGAGATGCAGAACAGGGACGTCACCAGCTTTTCCACCAACTCTGGAAGCATATCAAGCGAGTACACTTTGATTTTTGATTCAAGCGACTCATATTGATGCATCGCCAACGCAGCAGGAATCCCTCTCACAACGTCAGCAGAATCCACATAGCTATCCATGGTCGTTCCCGTAGAGTGACCAGTTTGAGCAGCAGCACGAAGAGTGGTCATTGTAGGATGGCTTGCAAGATGTGTAATTCCGCCAATTTGCAAAGATTTTGCAGTATATTGACTTGTAATTTTGTTGGGAGTTTTGGGGGGCAGGTTTGTTTTGATGATACTTCCAACCTTCTTGGCAACACTGTTGTTTCCAATCTTTTGAAGAGATGGAAAGAGGAAGTCATAGTGACCGTCAGCCTGCTGTGTTTCATTGCGGTACAAGCCATCTTCAAGGGCAAAGTAACATGCAATTGCGTGATAGAAACAAACGAGGTAGCTCTTATCTGGAACCATTGGCATTGCATGCATTGTCAATGTCTTCTTTTCTTCCCACTTTATATCTGTGGTCTGTAGGTATGGATCGAATCTCCAATCACTGAACTTTTGAAATTTGATTTCCCCCGCCCGTCCAATAGCTGAAAATGACAACATCAGCATCGCCCGTTGCTCAAAATGTCCAAAGTCTTTGACATTGTTCTTTGGTGCCTCCTTCATTATTTTGGTGAGAATCTGCTCAAGACTAACTCGGCTGATGAAGTCAGTCTTGTCAGGATTTGTATTCTTAAAAAAAAGGGGCCGGATATTATTACTTGAACCTTCATTCATCTCATGGCCATGGTCGATATGGTATCGGGAGCATGCCCTTTCAAATTGCACCAAAAATGCAGAGTACCAAAGAGGAAACTCGCCAGGCCCAAGATTCTTCAGCTGTACATGATTAGGCAGCGCTTCTCGGATATCTTTGAAGTGTTGCCCGATGTAATTCCTCAAGGTAGGGGTTTTCAAGTAGGAGACGCAGTCTTCATCAGGTTCAAACTGAGCATTGTACTTTGATCGTTGAGGGATCAAGCGGGAAGAGAGGAAATGGCCACAAAGAGTGATGTAGTTCTGGAGATTATCACCTGCAAGCTCATTCTCAGACGGTTCTGGTGGTAAACATTGACAAGACCGGAATGCTGCAAACAGTTTTCTAGCACAGGCATTGACGCTTTTGTTTGATTGGGACTGGCCAAGCCGCAATGCTGGCACCTGAAAGGGCGATAATTGGGGTGATGACGCTATACTTGAGGGCATGATCTTTTGCAGAGGCTTGTCTATGGTTCTACTGTAGAATGAAAGGAACCGAATCCTGCCTCGAATTTGTCATTGGCTGATTACATCACAAAATTCAGAACTGATTTAGTCACAAAATGAAGAACTGATTTAGTCTTATCACATACCAAAAATCAACAAAAAAAAACAATCAAGAGGAGGCAAAGGCCAGGTTTAGTACCATAGTAACTTCCTTGAAGGCAAATTTTGTTTATCAGTCGGCGATATTGTATATTATGTATCTATAATACAGCTTTGTATCTTTCTAGCTACCATTCTTGGTCTGTAATAGGTCGATGCAAGGACATTTGACGAAGTCACTTGCAATGTTGGAAACAGGAAATAAGAAAACCGGAACAAGCATCTCATTGCACTTGTACTTCTCCCAGCCTACGACCAAAGTCGATACTCATATATATTTTACCATCATTGAGCTCCGTGCCACCGTGTCTGGGTAAAGTCACGGCGGCTGGAGAGCACTCTTAGCATGTTGTCGGATGAAGCTGAATTCCTTACCCAATCCATGTGAGTGCTATTCAATCGCTCGCACCCAGGAAAACCCCATTTCAAAGCGCTCATTCTTGTTAGATATACTCATAGACGACAAATATGTATTGAAATAAAGGAGTGTGACGAAATTCTGTCCACACCACTACCAAATGGCTTTTGGAGAAAACTTACATGGTTTTCGTCTCACATCCGTAGGCATAAAATGGTCAATACTGGTAGGAGAGATCATGAACTTGATCGAGTGTCTCCGTCTGATTACTGCGGTGCTTTCTGGTACATGTTACATATGAAACATGAACCATCTTGGCATTGTGAGCACACGTTTGGGTACGATTCCAAAACATGCATTGATTCAACTTACGTTTATGGGCATAAAATGGTCAATAATGATGGGAGAGATCATGAAATCGGTCTAGCGCCTCCATTGATACGATCCTTGGATCGCTGTGGGAAAGAATTAGGAAGGTTTCTCCTTGTTGGCATGGAATGCTTGTCTTTGTCCGATTCCAAAACATCACCCAACAAATCAACTTACATTTATGGACACAAAATGGTCAATAATGGTGGGAGAGATCATGAAATTGGAATAGCGCCTCCGTTGATACCACCCTCCGATCGCTGTGTGAAAGAATTAGGAAAGTGTCTCCTTGTTGGCATGGTATACACGTCTTTGTCCATTCCACGACACCATCCAAAGAATCAATTCACCTTTTCAGATTACTGCATGTTTCATCTGGTCAAAATATTTCAAAAAACCGTAGTATCCTGTATTCATAGTGAATAAGAGGAGGGCTTGGCGTATTGTTGAGTAACACGGTTGGTGTGTCTTGAGTGGTCATTTCAAAGGTCAAAGAGGCTAATCCGTCCGTATCACTGCATTTGAACAAGATAGATACAGTTATGATAAAGCTAATCTCAGCTTTGCAACCATTTTCTTGGTGTGGGTGATGCCTTCGTTGGCCCCAAGGCTCCCTATCGTGGTGGAAGCAAAAAATGGATGCGACCAAAGAATTCTTGTCAACGTGGTATGGTCGGACCAATAGCAGACGATTCTTCAGAAAAGGGGGTCAGTACAACCCCGGTAGCTTGCACATGGTACGATCTATCTTTCGGGAGGGTTCCAAAAGTTGGGGAAAAGAGAGGCAGTTTCTATGGTGCCTGCGGCGCCAAGTTTCGCGAAATTTGCGAAACCTTGCGCTACGCGCGACACCTGGAATTTTTTCAAGTTTCATTGAAACCTGGAATTTTTTCCGACTTGCAACATATCGATTCCCTACGACAATCACTATTTCGGAGATCCACATTTTTTCGCTCCTTTGCGGAGTCTTTGTGACTCCTTTCCTCACGGGACTGCATTTCTCGCGGCAAAATGAGCCAGCAAGCCTCGAATTCAATCCGGTAGGTTCGTGTTTGACGCTTTGCGCGCGTTCTTTTTGCCCGACTTGTGTCTCACTTTTTTTTTGAATTTTCCGTTCATTGTCCGCGTGGCGGAAGAAGGCCAGACGGTTCGGGTGACTCCTAAAAGACCTTAGCAGCAATGTTCAAGTTTGAAGATGTCTGCTTCTGTTGAGCAAGAAATCGAACCCTATTGCAAGGGTGGAAAGAGAAATTGAGGAGATCAACGAAATTCTCAAGAGCCCCACCATTTCGGATGACAACAGAACTTACTATCGGCAAGTGGAAGACAGGCTTTGGGAAGAGAAAAGCCAGCTTTGGCAAGAGAAAAGCCAGCTTTGGCAAGAGAAAAGCCAGCTTTGGCAAGAGAAAAAGAAGTTGTTGTTGAT